CTGCTGGAGTCATGTTATTGAAATTTTTCTTGCCTTTTATTGCTTTAAGTCTAATTTTATTTATCCGGCATCAACATTTATTAAGATAAAGCGCAAGTAAAAATGCTGAAGGCCAAATTTTCATGTGGTTATCCTCTTTAAGCCCTTTTGTTTCTTGTTCTTTTCCAGCTTCTGTCAGCTCCCACTTTGTCCCGACAGTTTGCAACGGGAGAGAAGTCGTCGACTCCACCACTTCCTCTCTGTGACGACGTCCGGTCCGCTCTCTAAAACCTGTCCCTGCGACTGTTAGCCTAATGATGAACATTACTTCCTACAGCTTGGTTACCCCACCTCATACACACACACACACACACACACACACACACTCTAACATAAACATGTGTACACGCACAAAATAAGTGAACAACTTCCTTGTGGACTAGAACTGTAATTGTTTTACAAATGTAGAAAGTGTGTAACTATAATTAAATTGTTTTCTAGGGTTGTAAATACATGGAATTGACATTGTTGTACGTAGAGTAACAAAAAGAACAAAAAAAGTTTTTAGGAGGAAATTTTTGCAGTTTTTTTGTTTTTGATAGATTTGTTTCGATGTAAATAGGAAGAAGCTGAAACCTGGCGGCGGTGGTGGGGAGTGGGGTGGGGGGGACGTGCCCCTCAGTCTGGATGCACATTTACAGGCTCTGCTTGCCTCGCTGCAAAACCCACAGACTTTTTTCGATTCTCATGCTTTTTTGTAGTTCTCATTGTAACAATGTATGCATTTCTAAGGTGTTTTCTGTACAGTTGTATAAAATACTACTGATGGTTCAAACAGCACAACGTTAACATTCTTGTAACACTAGAATGAATGTGGACAACAAAAAAAGCATAAACTTGAAGGAAGAAAGGAAGCTTCATCAAACTCATTTCACTTTGAGAATTTATCTTATTACATCTTAATAGATGTGTTGCATTCTGGGTCTTTATAACAACCTACTATGGCTGTTTTAGCAGGAAAAAAACATGTTTTTTTGCTTTTGATACAAATGTTCTTTTTTTCTAATTCTAATTATGGAATCCCTTTATTCTAAATGGCCATAACTCCAGACATGTGTTCAACAAAGCAACACAGTTTCACTCCCACTCTTAAACTCCTGTGTCTCTGAAAGGCTGCTGGGATGCATCGCTAATAATAACTAATAGCTGGACTGAAAAGATGAGGTACAACAAATGTTTTTTTTATTATAATTATTATTATTATTATTATTATGAGCCTTGGAAGAACAAGAACAAATCACTTTCTCAGTCAGTAATTATGAGCTTTATGTTCTCGAATTAAACAAATATTAATGGTTTGATTTGCTGAACACATGCAGAGTTTTTTCCAACTATAGGGGGAGTAGTAGCTTAATATATGTGCCCTGTTAGAAACCATATGTGGTGACATTTTAAACATGGCAATGTGCCTTAATGTACGTTTAATAGGTTGATGTCGTTAGAGGTCGGTTTTTACATTCAGTTCCAAGTTTGTTTGTTTGTTTGTTTTGTTTTGTTTTGTTTTGTTTTGTTTTGTTTTATTTGTCAAGAACTTGTTTCAGGACAGCAGGGTGGCAGTTTTCTTTCAAACGAAGCCTTGTGCCATTGATTGTATACCTGAAGTACTGAAACAGTGACTCCGAGGAAATGTTTGCTTCAAATGACTTTTCCCATCTGTAGATTTCTTAAATACAGACGTGTCGAATTTTGTTTGCATCCTTTAAGTTAAAAAAAAACAATGAAAGAACTTGAAACTGATAAAAGTAATATCAAGGAGGAAACTGATGAAAGTGAGTCATTGGTTTTGAATTGTGGTCCAGATGATTTAATTTTTAATTGACAACTGGACAGAAGGATGGCACTCTCTTGGAAAAAAAAAGAAAAATAATAATTTGTCCACATCTTAAACTAAGCTGTGTCCCGTCATCAGCATCACAGATGTCCTTAGACTGGAATCAGTCAGTTTGCATATTTAAAAGGTGAAAAGTAGTCACAGTGCAGTTTGGTATCATTGTGTGTACTATAGACCACAAAAAGCTGACCAGAGTGTTGTCTCAGGAGTTTAGAAAGAAAATTATTGATGAGCGTTTTAAAGCAGGTGTTCATGTGATTACAGTTGTACATGAGCTTAAATAAATACATTTTTAGGAAATACCAACAAAATTTAACTACGGAAGAAGCTTGCTTATGTTCCAGGGCTGCTTTGCTGCATCACATTTTAATCTCAAGACTATCAAGGCATTCTGGAGCAAAATGTCCGTGTCAGAAAGCTTGGTCTAACCTAACTCTAACCTCACCGTTTTGCAGGTCCTGGTCCTCTAATACAGTGATAATAACCCATAAGACACAACTAACACCACCCAGGAATAGTTGGGGAAAAAATGTTGGACTGTTCAGATTATAATGCCCTGATCGAAACCCTTTTGAACATTTGTGGAAGGAGCTGAACCTGAGAAAGTTAAAGGATATGCTTGATTGCAGGGATCTCCTCAACAGTTACCATCCTTTTTGTCAAAGCCTATTGTCATTTTCAAGTTAGTTTACAGACCATTATTGTTGTTGTTTTTTAATCAAAAGATGCAAACAAATTTCTGTGACTGTGCACCCATCTTATTCATGTTACTCGTTACTCGTTTACAGCTCCTGTAAAAAATACGAAAAGGAAAAAAAACACACAAATGGAAGGAAATAAGCACATATATATTATTCAGAGAAAGTCTGTGACTCGTTGACTTGTTCAAGTGTTCAGTTTACATCCCTGTATTAAATCTGTTGATGTTGGGAGGCACAGTGGAGCAGCTGGCTTTGGCAGTCCCAGAGAGGCTCAGGAGAGGAGGCAGGAGCGCACACTGTCAGCTGCTGGCAGATCCCAGCTAACAAAACATCTTAGAGTAGAACAGTTCTGCATAGAATAAATAAAATTTATCAACACATCCATACATATGAAACTGTGGTTAGCAATGTTCCAGACTTTCTTTTGGATTCATAAAACAGTGACGTAAAAATATGTATTCATTTAGGCAAATTAGCCTGAAACAGTGAACTAATTTAGAAAATTTTATTTAAATGGGTTGATTCATGCAGATATTTGTTGAAATTAGGATGATAGCAATTTCTTAATGAACTGATCTTAAATGTTTACATATAACAAGCTGTCTAAAATAAAGTGTGACTGTTATCTTTGATGTTTTCAACAAAAATATGTGATCAGAATCACTTTTTTAGTGAGCAATTGAACTCTTGTTTTGTCCAATTTGCGAACTAGACGTGGGCAGAATTTTTTAAAGTTTCACCTTTTTGACCGGTCAACGCGTTTGCAGCAGCCGCTCTCCAGGCAGCCTCTTGTGATTATCGCATTGGACGATAGTTTCAGAGGGTGCGTGGCGATGAGCCGACCTACATGGGGTGTGGGAGGTGGGGGGGGGGTACCTTAGGTGCAGGGACAGCAGGCGAGAGCGATGGGATGCTGCTGCTGGATTACGTAAAGCACTCCCGCAGCACAGGGAATCGCAGCGCCTCTGTGGAAAGCTCAAAGTATCTCAGAGATTCACTGTCTTTGTTGGAAGAAGGCTTACATTCATTCAGTCAGTGGTCCTGCTCCCACAAGATACACCCTGCAAGGCAGGTTGCTACGGCCAACCACCAGCACCCCATCCACTGCTGGAATGTCTGTTTGTCCGCCTGAAGAGAAGAGGTGGCGGGAAAGGGGGAGGGTGAGGAGTGGCTGAGAAAAAGGGTACCAGAAAGAGGGATTGGTTGGTGGTGGTCCTGGTCCAAGTTGGCAGAGAGGGCTGAGACTTGGCCCAGCGGGGCCCTGTGCTCACGGCTTTTTAATGGACACACAAACAGAGCACTTAACCCTGATTCCCTGCTCGTTTAGCCCAGAGACTAGTCGGGGACAACAGTCCCACACTCTTCTTTGACCCCGCTCTCTTGCGATCCGCCTCACCCCGTCGACCTTTCCCTCGCCACCTTTGTGCGCCTCATCTCCACTCCATGTGTGAAACTTGTGACGGGGTCTGTCTCAGCCAAGACCACCTAAACCAGAGCAACAGGCTGGTAGCTCACACTTGAACTGAGGCGCCTGGATCTGGGTGCTCGCTGAAGCACATGCCATCAAGTTTTTTTTTTTTTTTTTGGGAAGTTTTAAAAAAAAGATAAAGGGATGTCACACAAAAGATTTGAACACTGAATAGGAAAAATTAATTGGAAAAGTCAGCTGCAAAGAAACTGCATTACCTTAAAACTCATCACCTTTCCAAAAAAAATCATCTCATGCGTCCAATAACTTCATCTGGAATCTTCTCTAATTGGTTTTTGCACATGAATATCCTTTTCAAGCAGCCATCCGCTGAGGACTCTGTCCCTCCATTCAGACTGTGCCAACTGTCATGTGCTTTACAAAGATCTCTGTGCTGTAGCCCCGTCTATACAGCAGAATGTGTCCTTGGCCTCTGGGCTTCGAAACGAGAAGAGATCTCTGCAGACGAAATGAAGCCGAGGTTGATGTGAACTCTGGAACTGGCCAGACACAAAGCAATAGCTCCCGTGTTTATGAAATGTGCAATAATGAGGCTGTGTGATGACATCTTAATAAAGTCCATGAAGCAAACAGCTGCGGTTGTCTGCTCATCCTTGTGTCTGCTGTGCACAGGAAAGGGGTGGGGGGGCTGCAGTGGGTTTGTAAAGCTCAGCTACCATCTAAATGTTGAATACAAGTTCAAATAGGTGCTCCCTCAGCACCTACACTTTCTCTCTCTCACACACACACACAGACTCTATTCATAGTGTGTGTTGGCAAACGTTTAAAGATGGCTCTAACACTCTGCCTCATCTGTTCACTAAGTGATGGCACTCCAATTAAACCATCTTCTGAAGTGCTTCCTGCTTCAGGACAGTGGATGCCAGTGTCAAACCTCACCTTGTCCTAGCATAGGAAAGATTCAAATAAAAACATTGCGCTGGAGGAAAACATTCTGCAAATTGAATTATGACAAGTAGAAAAGGAGCAAGTTTCACTCATATGGCTTAAGAAGAATAGAATAGAATAGAATAGAATAGAATAGAATAGAATAGAATAGAATAGACTTTATTGTCCCGCAACGGGGAAATTCAGGTGACACAGCAGCATTATTACAGAGGTTCACCCATTAGTTACTTGTCCAACTATAGATAGTACACACAAAGCAAAATTAACACTGACTAGCCATGATACAACTACTAATAATAAAAATATAATATAAAGATATGTGCAAGAAAAGTATGTACAAAATGTCAAAAATGAATTAGGAGAAAAATGTATTTAAAAAAATAATACAATTTATATGTTTACCTACTCTTTCTTTTGCTGATTTTTTATGGTTACATCATAATTTTTTATAGCTTACACAATGAGAACTGGATGAGTCCTGTTTTGTTTTCCTTGCAATGATCGCCCTCTAGTGGCTGACTTGGATCATTGCAGCATGTTTCAGTATTCTGAATCAAACGCAAAGAATCAGGCAGTATGGACGGGGTTTAATGTCCATATATCATTATCAACTCTATAAAAATACGGATATAAATTATTTTGATGTAAATTTTCATTTTGAAATAAATCCATTGTTAAGATAATTTACCATCGGTCAATGCATTAACTTCAATAAAATACTTTTTAACAGCAAGGTGACATATCTAGAAAACAAAATTTAGACCATAAAATAGTACTTTAAGGAGATCATATATTCAACATTATATCTTAACACTAAAAGTGCAAGATGATGTCCACGAATGGAGAGAAGCTTGAATAAAAAACATTATTTTTTTACTAAGCGACCACACGATAAATTGTTTGACCGACAAAATTTATAAGGCATAAAATTATTAGCATAATCTATGAAAATTAAGATTTTTTCATCCTCCAATAAAACAATTGTAAAGTTTAGATCTGCTTAAGGAAAGGTCAGATGGTTTGAAGCAGGGTTCTATGAACGATTTATAGCCTATTTGTTGTAGATCAAACTTCGAACAAAAAAAAGTTTACTTCTCATCAGATTGATGATATAAGTATCTGATCGGAGCCAAAGAAGGTGTTTCCATCACGAAACTTCAACTATAGCAGTTCATGCAAACACCGTTTTTACAACCTTTCCATTATCAAATATTTTGCATTACAATATTCAAGCATTATTACTGCTGGAAATCCACCAGGCTGCACCAGAAGTGCTACAGCTGTTTTCTTTCTGAGAGATAAACTCAAACCCATCATCAGCTCATTTCGGGCAAAATACTTACCTGAGTGCATTCGCACTGAATTATTGTGAAAGTCATCCTAGTGGCTGATTTCACGTAAGAGTTACTTGACAACTTAATCACTCTCAGTCCGTTTATACATAAATATGTTTTTTTTATTAGAAGCACAACCATGACAACATAACTTATGTTTATTTACAGCTCTTTATAGACCAAGAAATCCAAATGTCACACATTAAACAGAGTGAAATAAATACAAACAAACACAGAACACAAGAACTCAAACAGGTCCTTGTCTCACCCTGAGCTTTTCCAACAACCGTTTCTGACAAGAGCTGGAGTCAGAGGATGATGGAAGAGTCTGTCTCACACACACACACACACACACACACACACACACACACACACACACACACACACACACACACACACACACACACACCTGCTTCACAGTAATATGGCTCTGTTGTACCAAGCTTTAAGGCCACCAAGTAAGAGTGACTTCCTTGAAAATATGCAAGATGTGTGTTTTTCTGTGTGTATTTCTACACACTAGTGGTAATCCAGGAACCAAACCTCATAAAGACTGTTGGTTAAAGGAGGTGGGGGGGGGGGTCACCCTGTGGAAAGTGTCTTTAGGGTCTAATGTCTCCCCCTTAGCTCACACTCCTACAACTCTAGCTCCACACCAGAGCTTTGGATTGAGACGAGTTCAGCTGCACGTTTTCATATTTCTCCCCATTACCCTGAAAGTTAAAGCAGACAACTGATTAAAAAAACAATACATTTATTAGCATGAAATCTCTGTCTTTGCTGCAGTGATGCTCCGAGTCTCACCTTGGACGCTATGGCTTTGAGTTTCCCAAGCAGTGAAGGTTTTGTGTACACGACCTCGTCCTCCATGTCTCCCTCGTTCTCCCCCTCCATCACGGCACAGCTGTCGGCCACGGGCATTTCACACTCCTTATTGGCAGACATAACCAAGCGGGAGTATTTGTACTCCAACCTTGCAGGGAAACAAGCAAAAGAACCAATATAGGAAAAGGGAAAAAATTGTAAAAGGAATGGAAATAAACAATTCAGAGCTCTCTGATACCGCTTGTTTTTCTTCCAGAAGTAGCAGGTGAGCGAGACGAGCAGCGCTGCAGCAAAGGTTCCTATCCCCGTGCCAAGCCGAACCCAGTACTCCATACCCTCACATGCTAAGGTTTTCTTCTCGGGCAAGGCCACGCCTCCTATGCACAGTTTCGGCTCAGTCCACACATACAGCATGTCCTGAGGATGATCGAAATGCACAATACAATCAAATTTAGAAACAAACAAGATCTTACACTAACCATTCTAAGGCCGGACAGTGTTTCACAGTTTTTGCTCATCGTCACAAGCCAAACATAACACTCAAAATACACAAAATAAAGAAGAGTGGACTAAATACAGCCTGAAACAGAAGCTAAAAATCCACTTGTTAGTAATTCTAATGCATGTGCTTTATAAAAGAACCAATATGTCCACACCTGGTGTCCTCCTTTGCAGACTCCCTCTATCAGATGATAGTCTCTTTCTGTGCATGTAGGACAAGCTCCTGAGCTCTCCCATAGGAAATGAAAAGTGCAGCCATCACATGTTCCTTCAGAGCACTGACTGAAATCATCAGAAGCAGACTATTTTTAAAAACTGATACCTTCTAACGAGCATTAGCAAAAGTTAAAAGGTCATTTTAAGAAGGGATCGCTTTCAGCAAAGACGAAACGTTGATACCTGGGAACTGAGAGCTCGCCACTGGTGCTTTTATCTGGGTTGCAGCGAAGTGTCACCACGGCACTCCGGCCAGACTCACAAGATGAAGTTGCCTCCAATGATCTGACCAACAGAAATATAACATAAAGCTCTTACATCCATTTTTTTCATATATATATATATATATATATATATTTTTTTTTTTTTGTTTGTTTTTTGTTACTTTAAACATGGTTCCTATAGTTTAAGGCAAGTTAAATTCAAGACTTTTTAAGACTTTTTAATGCCAAATGAAATTAAATTTAAGACCGATTTCACAATAAACCCAAATGACAAAAAAAATAAAAACTGTGGCGGAAACTCATGAATCAAAGTATTTTTGGTTGAAGCATTCAAATATTGCTAATAGACCAATTCTTTTTATCCATATCTAACTGCTTTTTCATGAAACATAGCAAAAACCTTCTTAGCAGTCAGTTTAAAACTTAATTTAATTTCTGGAAATCCTCTAACGACCTAAAATTTGGAGTTTTGGGACCCACAGTGGGGTCTTAACCCCAATTCACTGTAGATAAAAAGCTTAAAGTGCCTGTGACATCATTTTTTGTAAGAAATATGAATGTATTTTTGGAAAGACAACATTATTAAACATATTACAAAACAAATTTCACGTCGCTCAGATGAACAGTTGAAATATTTGCATGTGAAGTAACAGGAAGTGATGTCAAAGGATAATGTCTGCATGTGAATATTTAAAAAAATAAATGTTACCAATTATTTTAGTATTTGAGACGTCATCCTATCTACAATAAGTTAACATTTTTAAGACTTCTGAAAGTTTGATTTAAGACATTTTAAGGCTAATTAAGGCCTTATTTTTGGATTGATGAATTCAATGCCTTTTAAGACATTTTAAGGATCTGCAGGAACCCTATTTAAAGTACAAAAATACCTGTAGAAGAAGTTGACATCAGGGACTTTCTTTGAAGTTTGAGAAAACAGCTCTGGACTTGCTTTCACTCCTGCAATATCATCCTCTACAGTTGCACCTGTAAAAAAAAACAAGATGCAGGTTCACCAAGTTCCTCTAACAGGACAACATTAAAAGGCCAACATAATCCTAAAAAGATAGATTTATTTAACTATGTCTTTATGTCTACAAATTATGTTTATTTAACTATATATACTTTATGTCAACAATTTAAATTGAAAACAAATTTTTCAAAAACGATTACTTCCGTTTTCCTGACATCCACCATCTGAGCTCACTTACCAAGAAAAGTGTCAGCTAGGTTAATGGACTGAGAGGAGAGTGAAGTGTGGAATCCTCTTCCACTAGCTGGGATTATGGTTGACTGACAGACGAAGCTCCTGACGGCGCTGGGCCCTTCGCCTTTCTCTCCCCGAGCACCGGAGATGGACAGGTCTGTAACGTTGTCTGTGCACACCGCCAACTGACCCTTAAAAAGGCAGAAGAAACTAGATGGTAAGGACATCCCAATCGGGCACAAAGCCAAATAGTAAAATTGCACCATGTTTCTGTGTGCTGCCGTTATTGTTCGTGCACACCTGTTCTCCACATAGACTGATATTGAACACGTGGAAATATTTGGTTCCTTTGGTGGTAAATTTGGGACTATTCATCAGCGACATCACAGACCCGAGAGATCTGAAGTCAAAAGTCAGAGTGACGTTGCCGTCTGTGTGGGTGAAGTGACAGTCGCTGTAACATTTCCTGTGATCCTAGAAAGCACAAAACGTTTTACGGTCATTGTTTCTGTAAGGAACCTTAAAGCAACTAGCTTGACTTCCTCGTTTGTCCCAACAACAAACCTTGTCACTCTTGCTAGCCGGTCCGCAGGGTGTGCAAGCATCAGGTCCCGTTGCGGCATGAGGGACAAGGTAAGTGTTGGGTGGACACTCCACACATTTGCTGGATAGAGTGTCTATGTAGTGACCCGGTGGGCAGGGTACGCACGCAGAGCCGGAAGGCTGGGTGCTGAGGGCACAAGCCCGGCAGCTAGAGGACACACCGTCAAGCGCGTTGGTCACTGTGATGGAGTAGATGCGTGCCACATCGTTGACGTACCAACGTACCTGAAAAAGAAAAACCAAAACTTCAGGAACTTACAGCATACAAAATAAAGTTACACACTCCCTGGAGTCTCCTACATTCTTACAAAATCTCAGATTAGAAAAAAAGCTGCATCAGTCTGCTCTTCTTTAAAGTTCGCACGTTATGCAAAGTAGTGTGTGTTCAAGAGGGTGAAGTGGTTTTAGTCAGACTTTTAAAATATCTTTAAAAGCAATTAAAAACAAAGGCACATGTAAGTTTCCTCCTTGCCTTTGTTTTTAACTGGGGCTGTGAAATTAATGGAGTTAACTCTGATTAATTTTAGTGCTGCATGGGCATAGATTAAAAATTTTAATTGCGATTAAAATKTACAATCACTTTACTAYGGCTGAATATGTAGGTYTGTATATTGCAATGCACTCAGTGCAYGCCAGGTCATGTTTGTAAATGAGAAGTGGTTCTCAAACAGTTTACCTGGATAAATAAAGGTTAAATAAATGATATTTAAAAAAAACTCCATGTGTAACACATTATGTACAGTTTTTTTTCTTTTTGTCTTCTTATGGCTTATTTTATTTTATTTTTTATTTATGTTTTGCTGACAACTGTGACATAGTATCTATCTTGCATTCCTCATGTAGTACTATAGTATGTAGTAGTAATAACTCAAGTAATTTATTTTACCAATATGCAATAAAGTTTTATATTAAGTTTAAGATTAATCGTGATTACTTCACAGCTACCTTGGAATTAATGGATTAAACATTTTAATCATTTGACAGCCCTATTTTTAACTAAACTTTAAGCTAAACTGAGGCAGCACAAGCACGCACAGTAGATCTGCACGTGGATCCTGCTCCTTCTTGTCTGTTGACCAATAGGAGAGGAGCTGACTGAAGAAGGACCGCCTACCTTATTTACATAATGAGGGAGAAATGCATTTGGAAATGGAAATACAGGAGACAGAAATGTAAAAGCAACACATGGAAATAAAAAGACTTGTGAGAAAATTTATTTTAAAAAATAATTAAATCTAATCATTTAAGAGACACAAATGCATCTACAAGTAAAAGGAAATTATATATATATAAACAGTAAATTTTAAATTATGTGGTAAAGTATATAATTTACTGGAACTAATCTGGAAGAATAAATATGAAGGTCAGTTAAATTATAAAACATGAGGTAAAGTTCTCCTTTTTTAATTTAATTGGTGCATTTTAGGTATATTTATTTATTTATTTGTCCATTTATATACTTTTGCTTTTATTTCTAATTATGTCAGTTTCGGTCCTCCATAATGGGTAACTAATAAAACCGTTTAAAAAAAAGGTTAGCTTTTGTCTTTTTCATTAAGAGTGTTAGCTTATGTCATGTGAGTTTTTGACTTGTGAGTTTTTCTGCAGGTCCTCATAATGTAGTAAAATCATCTCAAATGATCTCATGAACAACCCCTGTACAATTTAACTAAACATCTGTGTGAAAGTAGACGCTCATACTTACATCTGAAGGTTGGTTGGTTCTCTGAAAAGCCCATGTGTAGGAAACTGAAGCATTTTTTGTCATGACGTGTGTGTAGGTCTGTCGTTTGTTTGTTTTCTCCCATGACTGCACCACTGTAGTACTCGTTCTATTGACATCCTAAGATACGCAAACGACAAATTACTCCAAACGCCAACATTTTAAAAAATGCACAGAGTGCAAGTTTGAGGCTGTTCTTACCATCATGAAGTAAAGCTCACAGTCAGTTGTGCACACAGTTTCAAACTCAAATGTGACACGACCAAATTCTGCCACTGACTGGCTTGACACGGACGTAGGCAGTCTGATGATGGAGCCAAACAGAAAAAAACTGGATTAGTCAGAGGACAAAGAAACACACAGCTCAGCAACAAGACTGCAACACAGCATGACTGTACTTACTTGAAACCGGGAACGTGAATATTGAGGATGAGGTAATCATTGTCAGAACTTCCTGCTCCACTATGTATATGATCTCCTGCTACCTCCCAACCTAAAGAGCAGAGCAACGGGGATTCATTTACCTCATCTGCTGGAAATAAACACTAAATACAGAACTGTTGAATAAGCTTTATAAAATGAACAGCGTCAATTCTATTGTGTCTATATACGTATTTTTTTATAAGCAAAAGACGTAAAAATGAATGTGTTGTGTTTGAATGAATTGCTGATAAACAGAAGTGTGTTTAGAGGAACCTGTTTGAGGCGGGGGTGTGCTATATTCAATGCAGATTATTGTGTTTACATAAGTCCAGAGCTTTTAGCAACCCGTTTGCAGTGACATCCATTGAAAAGAAGCTAAAAGCAGCTTTATGATTAATACAAACATCATTAGCTATAAAATGGAACTGAACACTGGGACTGAAAACAAAGAAAACTGGGTAATACTATAGATGGGTTTTGTTTTTTCTTTGTTTCCTCCAGACAAAATTAAGCTTTTTTCCAATACAAGCTAATTAAAAGCTACTCTAGCTAGATGCTAACAGCTGCTAATTTAGTTGTTTGACTTTTATTTATTGTTCTGATAAAAAGCATTTTACAAAACCACCAACCATATTTTTACAAAGTAGTTTGTCTATAGATTTTTTTTTCTTTGCGCTTTATAATTTATTGTTGTTTTCTTTCCTTTTTTGACCTATTTGCCATTTTGACAAAGATTATTTAACAAAATAATAACCATATGTTTAACAAGTTACTCTAGCTAGCTGCTAATGTTAACTTATACTAGGGATTTTTTAATGACTCATTTATTTGTTCATTTAATTTATCTCTGACTGAAAGATATTCTTTAACAAAAGATTAATTTTATTTTTATTAGCAAGTGATAGCTAGCTGCTAATGTTAACTACTACTGCAATTATATTTTTATTGCTCTAAAACTGACTTTTTTTCCTGACATGTAAACCAGAAAATAAAACTTCAAAATAAACACGGTGTGTTCGACCACTCACCGTTCATTTTGTCACATTTGGAGTTGCCCACATTAAAACAGGAAGTCTTCATGTTTGAAGGAAGAACATTCCACCATTTGTACTCGTAACCCAAGACAGGTTCTGTACCTGCAGGGCACCGCTGGCACGCTGGGAAATAAACAAAACCAGAAAACACAATCAAAACACTACATGACACAAAAACGTGAGTAAATGAGGGGGAGCTATAAGGAGAAAAATACAATAAATTACGAAGAGTTTTCAGTACGTTTCATTCCATCAGAGTATGTTCTGGGTGGGCAGGCGGAGCAGGTGGCCGTGTCGTTGTTATAAAAACCAGGATTACAGGGCGGACACGGCTCACGGTCGCCACTTTGAGGCAACGTTTCTGCTCCATGGACACCCTCGAGACAGATCTTTGGTTCAATCCATTTATATATAACCTGCGTCTGAAATTACACATGGATGGAAATGACAAATTCTGATTGCATGGCAAGTCTGGTGGACATGCTTGAAAGGTGGCTTATTTCCCCCCTCACCTTGCCTTCAAGGTCGCAGGCTGTGTGAATTTGGAAATAGTCCTTTTTGGAACAGGGAGGTCTGTTCTTACACGCCGCCGCTCCCTCCTCTGGAAAGCAAGATATCGTAATTGTCCAAGATAGTTGTTTCATTAGAAAAGATGAATTTACAAGAGCAAATTGAACATGCCTGCATACTGAGTGGTGGTGTTGCAGGCGGTGCATGAGCTGGCCCCATGGCCCGAGTAGGTGTCCCGAGGACAGGATTCACATGTGGAGGAGCCTGGAACACGGCTAAATGTCCCGGGTTTACAAGGGAAACATTCTGAAGTGTAGGCAACACCTAGAGGGGAAGAGGGGAAAAAAAAGCAGCGAGATAAAACGATAAATGCTTAATCAGCGTTTTAATATTGGTATTTTTCCACAAAAATATACCGGAAAAGACAAAGAAAATAAAACATGTCAATGACCTTCAATTTGAATGTTTTTCAGCAGAACAGGCTTCACCACCTTGGACCCCAGAACACCTCCAGTCCTCCAGTATAAAATGTTGGTGCCAGATTTCAAGTTCACCTTAAAAAACACAGAAGGTTTTGCTGCGTCATCAGTTTTGCATGAATGTTCAGCAGGAAGAGCTGCAAACAAAGTATGTTCTGGATTTCTTTAATATATCTTTTAATTATTAAAAAAAATGTAAGTTAAAATACAATTATTTTAAGAAATTAGTCATTGTGAGGCCTGAACTATTAATTAGCCTAATTGATAAATAAAAACTGGAAATTACAAAACATTACACTTTGCTGTCCTAAATTCCATAATAAGTCAATTGAGCTAATAAAGAGAATGGGTTCATCAACTATTTCAATTTGACTTGGGAAAAAAGGACAAAAGCATATTTTCAGCACACATTTCTAAGCATAAAATAAACCAAAAAGAAGCTTAATCAAAGTACGAATATTCCTATACACAACTTAAAATTGTCACCATTTTAATTTATGTGTTTGTTTATCTGCAACCTGTGGCTCTGGGGCCACTCTTTGGCCCCTCTACGTGCCTCTTTGAAGCTTTGACCAAAGCTAACATGAGATTAAATTTTATAGTTTTAAATTAGCACTTTTCCTTTCAATTTGTTTGCAAACATGCGATCTATACTAACACAAGGCGGGAAACGTTTAGATCATAGTAACCTGTTGGCCACTTCAAAAATTCGAATTCCAGCCTGAAAGTAGGATTTTTCTCTCAAATCATTCAGGGTTACCTTTAAAGATCTTCAAGACTAGACTAGGTTAAAAAAATGTGTTTACATGAATATGTTTTTTTTTTTTGGTCTAAAGTGTAAAAATGTTAAAGCTCGCTATATATTATTACTTTTAAAATGTTACCCCCCACTAGCCGGAAAGGCCAACCTGCATCAAACTCGAAACGGCCCACGAGCCACCAGTTGATAATCACAGATGTAGCAAATTTTGCGCCTCCAGACACATTTTATTAATGAGCCAGGAGCAGAAATGGCTCTTTTGATTGTAAAGGTTACAGCCCTCTGGTTTATCTCAAAGCATAGAATGAACCAATAAGACAAAATAATGGACTTTCTGCCTGGGAAATTCCTAAAAGCAGGAACACTCAAATACAGCATCTTCCTGTGTGCCAACAGGTTTCCTGCCTGCATCCACCCACTGATTGCAGCTCAACACATTTATTTTGGAAGACCAAGGTCAGTTGGCAAAGATCGGTCCTTTCTGCCTAAAATTTATCATGCAGTGTAAAACATTTACCGTGTGGGTTGCCCACTCTCCATGATTGGTGACCTTTAGCCACTTGTTATCAGCAGACTGATCCATCTCCTGACACTGGTCATTTTGAATCTACACAAAAAAAAAATGAAATGCAGAAGATGAAACTCTGACATCTTTGCAGTGGTGTTTCTTTTTACTGAATTACATAATAAAATCAATAATGCTGATGAGGCTTCTGCCAAAATTTTTGATTGCTGAAGCCATTTCCTCAGGACATTACACTGGTTTGAGATAAAACGATACTCACAAAGAACTCAAACGGCAAGTTGTTGTCTGGATATTGATACTCGAAGCTGACGGAGCCTTGTTTCTTCAAATGAACAGCATAGATGAGAGAGACTGTGCACTCATCCCTGTTGGACTCCAGATAGTTTCCCTGAGGCACCCAGGAAGAACTGTGAGGGAAAAAAAGAAGACCGTATCTAAGAAGATGTCGTACAATTTACAAACCGTGTTCTTACTCGGTTACCTGTTGCAGGTGAGCTGGGCATCCCTGTGGGGGTCGTTCCCCAGGGAGGTCGCCATGCTACTGAATCCAGCAGGCATGCTGTCCCATTGGTCGAAGCGTACACCGCTGCCGAGGGAGTAGCTCCCAGCTGCGCACTGGGTGCACTCCTGGGCCGACATCTCCAGGAACTCCCCGGCTTTGCACGAGAAGGCTGAAGGACACCGAGAAGGACAGTCAGGGGTGGAACTGAGGCAGTATAGCACATTGAGCAAGTCGCTTTCTACCCTTTTTCCTCACGTTTTGATGTGTTTAAATAAAACGTGACAGACTAAAGCTGACACACAATGAGTCAAATCACTGCTGCTTTTGGTACAGTGCACCCCCCAGTGATAAAGGAGCTTAATCCCTACATCCTGTTTCACACAGTGTCTGTCTCTGCACTTTCTCCAACCAGCCATCATGTCGATTTTTTTCCCCTTAATGCTTGACAAAGTCAGCTTTTCCTCATACTTGAGCTGTCTTACTGCCACAACAATGCCTCACTGTTCTTCAAGGAAGTTAACTAATTCAAAGCAATTTAAGACAAAAAAAAAAGGTATCCGGTGGACCAGATAGTGCGAAAGTCCTTGTATAGGAATATAACTTTATTTAAAACTGTGACAATAATTTGTTTCATGATAATTAAAGTAACCAATAAGGGTTCTTGTTATATAGTATGGTCAAGCAAACAGATTCATTAAATTCTAGAAGTACACAAAAAAAGCCAGATTTTAGTTTTTTTTTTTCTTAAGTCAGATGAAAAAGATGAAGAAAAGTTAACAAAAAACAAAAGCTTAAGCTGTCCGTAACATTTTTACCTCTTCCCATGTGTGGGATGTGAACTAACCAAACAGACACACTCTGTGGAAGGAATACACTGTTTTGTGCACTAAAAAAAAACATCAGAAAATATAATTTAAGTCAATTAAAATTCCCAGGAAAGTTCAGGTGCAGCTTCGACGTTGAATGATGACATCAGCTGATTTCATCAGTAAATCTTTTCACCTGTGACTTCAACAGGGTTGTGTACGGTCGCTGAGTGAACTGATTGTAATAAATCCAACTCCGAAACACAACACAAAACAAAAAAAAAAAAACTTGTATTACCACTTTGCACCTCAGCATACTTTACATAGTTTAAAATCTGTTTTTCTCCGTGATAACGCGATAAGTCACGTCAGATATCTCTGAAGGCATCTTCTAACCAAACACAAAAAAAATGAACACTCTCCTTCATGCACGTTTTACAAACAAGATCCGGAAAACCATATGGTTCATTCAAAAGCACCACACTCAATGTATTTTATTTCACTTATGTTTGCTAATGTCTTTTCCAGACATTTGTGTTTATTGCCAATTATGCTTCTAATTCTCCTAAATCTAACACTTCCCAGACCTTATTAGACACAAACATTTTAAGATCATAAAATAGATAGCTTAGATGTGACTAGCCTGTTTATTGCTCAGGGCTTGGTGAAAGTCTGAGTTTTGTCCAACTTACTGCACTCAGTGCCTTTCACTGGCTCCGGTAGTCCAGCACAGGCCCCGGGTCTCTGTGGGATGGCCACCCTCCACCGAGATCCTGTGCTGTCACACTCGGTGTACTCATAATAGTAGTCCGTCTGCCAAAAACACACACAGAGAACATCTGCATGAGAAATCAGTCGTCACAGGACGTTTGGTGCCAAACAAGGATCAAACGTAGACCAGAGGCAGGTCAGTAAACACATCATAACGAGGGGGGGGGGGTCTCCACCCAAAAACATGGCAGTGAGTCACCACCCTGTGAACGCTTGGCGAATCACGGCAGGCGAAACAGAAACTGTACTCACAACCACAACTGATCCCAATCTCCACATCCACTTACCCAGGCTCACAAAGCAAGCGTGCCTGCTCTCTGGTGTTATCACTCAACCTCTGACCACTCTGGGCCTGGATACATAACATACCATCTCCTAGGAGATGGCAGCGGGAACAATGGCAGAAATGGACCGACGATTAAAAAGGGAGAGTCATTTTACCAGCTGCTTTTACCACTTTAGAGTAGAACCACACTGACAATTCATTACTGAATGGAATGGGACATACGATGTGAAACCCATTCGCTTCATGCTCTTGACTCCACTCTGTTTGTCCACTTTCTCTTTGCCAACGAGAACTCATTTCTGAGAGTTTTGTTATTTTTTGAGCTAAGGCAGATTGCGACATGTAAACAAATGCAGGGTGTTGTTTGTACTGGCCAGGGGGGCTGGTGTTGGGCTGAGAATTTATCAAATTAGGCCAAAAAAAAAAACAGAATTAGGGAGAAGAAAATAAGCATTTTAATTCAGATACAGAAGATGAGTGGGGTTTACTATGTGTGAAACTCTACTGTGATTGAATTGTAGTGTCACTGATAGTGTAGTGCGATATTTCACAAACAGCATAATCCAGCTCACATCCTGATATAATTTGTCATCCCTTGAATTTGATACTCAAAATCCTTCAAATGGAAAGGTTACAGTGATCTCTGTGAAAATATACAACTGGGAAAGCATTTTAATGGGATGTTGCTCTACTATCTGTGGCCTGTGTGTGCTGCCAGCCTCTTCTGAGGTGTTGAGCTGAGCCAGATTCCCGGGAAGGAAAGGCCAGTTCCATGCAGGAAGCTGATAACAGCCGGAGCAGCTCTGAGTGGTGAACTTCAACACGCACCAGAGCTCAGCGCAGATTCATGAACTGTTCGGGAACAAAACAGCAATGGTTTCAAGTGTGCTGGATACTGTAATGAGCAGGAGTCCACTTCAAACACAATTAAACCCACCCGGAAGTGTGTCATCATCTTTTTTAATCGTTTGCTCAGGACTCGGCGCGTACCCACCCGAAACGTTTGTTGTTTTGTTTATTTATTTATTTTTATCCTACGTTTTATGTCAGTGATAAACGCCAAAGATAAAATGCATTCTCCTCACCTCAGTACACTGCCGCTGTCCTTCACCTCCCTCAATCACCCAGAGGATGAGAGCGCATCGGGCAACGAACCAAGCCGAAGACCGCATTGTGATTCATCTAGGAAAGCGGAGATCATATATTAAAAACTATTCTATAGCCAGCTGGATGGTCTGTATCATAAATTTGTTTTAAATGAACTTGTTCAGCCGGAGCTCGACACCTGCTTCTACCGTCCTTCTAATAAAACGCTACCCCGGCCTCTCCACCTGCGACTACACACTCAGATTGTGTGCGCTTCAGGAGCTCGCGCTCATCAAAAAACAAGCTAGGCTCAACCAAATAGCGCATCCGCTAAATATTTTTTCAAAACAATGGTTCAGGTAGATCTTCAAATCGGAATACCCTGAGCTGTTATTGTGTTAATTCTACCATCATGTAATGAAACGATACTACAAAACCTATGCACTAATTTTAATAATTTCTTGCCAAAAATGTATGAAGATTAAAAATAGTTTTGATTTTATTTTGAAGGTAGACCGATTACAGGACCAATTTCCGGTAAGTATGTGCTAACTTGATTCCGCTAGCATGTCCGCTAGTATGCGCGCTTATCGCAGTGTTATTTAACTATGGGGGGGAAAAAAGAAGGCAAACATTTAAATTGAATAGAAATTTGTCTGCGTCGTAGTTTTGCTGCTTTGCACAACATTGAAACAGCTTCCTTTGTTTTACCGAGAAAAGCAGATGCTGAATAAATCCTAAATCATGCAGTACATCACAATGATCAACAGAGGGCGGAAAGGTTCTACAACAAAACATCTGCTCGGCAGGGAAGGGCTGTTTATGTGCTGTACAGACTGTTCCCCTGTCAAAATAGATTTGCATATTGTATTTCAATTTGCGTTTTAATTGTGATTACCCGTAAGAGGTACTATAAAAACATATTCATTGTGCAGCCTACAAAATGTTTACATTCAGCTAGGTTAGGGGGAAATCCTGGAGAATATTTTACTCTGGGTAATTTATAAACTTAAAATGTGTTTTATTTGCCAAATTAACTTATAATAATGATTAAGCAAAAAAAATCATGATAAACAAGCAGAAAAAAAAATATGCTAATATTACATGATTAAACACCAATAGCAATACTTCAAATTAGAGTGCAACAAACGAACCTTAAAATATTTACGGTTCTGTCTTATTTAGATCCACGTAAGAATATCTGTTGTGAAGAAACAAGTTTACAAGGTTGACTGAAAACTGTATCTCTGTTTACATCTTAGGACAAGAAAGCTCATGCATGTTTCATAAAAACACCCGGGTTCAATTTGTCAAGCTGTGCTGCATGAACAACACTGAGCTGCTGAAACAAATCCTACAGACAAACTGAGACACCTCTGTGTGTGTGTGTGTGTGTGTGTGTGTGTGTGTGTGTGTGTGTGTGTGTGTGTGTGTGTGTGTG